TTCTGAACATTGATCGCTGATAAATTCCGGCTGATCTGTCCAGTCAAGCTGTCCCGTTTGGTACACGTTCTATAAGCGTGGGGCTCCCGATGCCTGGCGCTCGGTGGAGTTCCGTTCAAAATTGGCCTCGCTGTAAAGCGCAGCGCCCTAGGGTTTACCGGTCCACTCTGGCTTCTGAATTTCTAAAATGGGAAGTTGGGGGTTCTCAACACTGATTTGTGACGCTCCAATACGGCACTGCAAGTGGCAGTCTGCCAGACTTTTTGCACTAAAATAAGAACATTTTGTTTTCATGTGTTACTAAATATTGAAAGTTCCTACATTTTCTTTGTTTTCGCTATGGACAAAAGTGGTTGGATGCTACACGAATGTACCTCGGTTATACTATATACTAGCATATATTTTAAAACAAAAATAAGTTCCGATTCACGAAGACTAATACTATAGAATAAACAAGTCTCGTCGTGTGTCGCGAATCACGCTTTACTATCTCAAAGGTTACAGTGTTTTGAGGCTCTGCTGTATGCGTCGTCTCTTTCAATTTAATTTAAAAAATTGGAGAAGAATATTTTGGGGCAGAACTCTCTCTCTCACTCACTCTCTCTCTCTCTCGATCGAACGGTGTACAATCATCATTAATGGTCACAGGTCTACGTATATTCTGCATCGATGTTGTATTTACGACTCGCTGCACTTACCTGGAATACTGCTGAATGGGTCGAACAGTAAGAATATTTTTATAGATTTGAGTAGTGTTTAATTTTTATTTCAAAAATTCACGCAATGTGCACATGTAGATCCAACGCAAAGGGGGCCCTAGTTTATTTCACTGTCCCTGAATCCCATTATGTTCCCTTCCGCCACATCATTCCGCAACGTGAGGCAACACTAGAATTACCTCAGTTTCGCAGGCTCATTTCACCGGGGCTCCTTTTCAATATAAAGGAAGTTATTTCTTTGTATAATAAATATACATATTCAGCGTTGGTCTAGGCCAGAGTCATATACAACTCCACGTGAGGAAGTATGTTTTACGCCGCTTTTAGCAATAAAAGGACAATATCACGACGAGGGAGACGAGAAATGGGCTTCGCACGTTGTGCCTTTGTGGGAAAACGAATCAGGGTCCTCGGCGTGACGAGCAAGGGTTTTAACTGCTTGGCCATCCAACCCTGCAGGTTCCTCGTGCATATCAATATGTACCTTGGTAGTAAGAGATGACAAGTGTGTTTGTCCTCATCTCATCAACGTCATCTTGGGTGTATAAACAGCTAAAACGACGCACGCCTCTTCCTGTTTCCTCAATGAACGTCAGATAGGGTGAACATGCAATAAAGATAAACTTAAAAGACCCGCGCCTTCTTCTCACACTGAGCTGACATAACGCCGTCATATAACTTAATATTAGGAAAAGGGTGTATAAACTGAATAATAGGCCCACTGTGTCAAAACAGCCGATTTCATCTTATACTGTTCACACTTTGTTAAGGATCAGATCATTGATTCAACAGAAAACTATTATGTGGGGTCTAATTTGGTTTAAATATCTAAGCTTATTGTAAGCATGGATCCTAGTTTTCAGTAGGTCACTGCATCTTGTGGATCCCATACCTGCTATTGACAGGTGTTGTGTGCTCGTCAATGACTCGTTCCATGATTTGCAAAATGGTTGATTGGTGCCATGAAAACCATTTTTATGTTACTCATGTATCAAGTGCATAAAGTTAGATTAAAGTGGCTGTTTGCCCAAAGAAGGGTTACCATATTGTTATTTATCCAGTTTTAAATGGATACAATTTCAAATTATAAATCTATGTTTAAGTAAAGTTGTGATTTTTTGTGATCCTTAGCAAAGTCAAACAAACCAAATATATCGTTCATGATGTGTACATGAGCTATTTATGATAGGCCAGAGGAAATCACAGATATAATATTTGTCACAGGTAACATATTTATCACAGATAACGCGTGTGTCTGTGTGTCTGTGTGTGTGTGTGTGTGTCTGTCTGTGTCTGTGTGTGTGTCTGTCTGTGTGTGTGTGTCTCTCTCTCTCTCTCTCTCTCTCTCTCTCTCTCTCTCTCTGTGTGTGTGTGTGTGTTGGGAGGGGTGTGGGTCACAGATAACATATTCATCACAGATAACTTGTGTGGGGATGGGGTGGGTGGGGGTATAACGGGTTTAACAGATAACATATATATCACACATAACATGTTTTGGGGGAAATGGTATGGTTTGATATGAAGGTAGAAACTCAACTGCAGAACGTTTACGGTGGTGAAATGTGTTTCCTTTATCTTCAGTGCTTGCGGGGACATTGACATGCTCCCCGTGTGATCATAACGTAATGCGTTACAGTGAACCAGGATGTGAACTGTAATAAAAACGTTCCCGTCACATATTGTGACCGGTAATAATTATCTGAACATGTTTGAGGGACAACATAGCTTCCACACACGTGTCTCCGCACAGGTAAGTTCGAAATCAGGGAATAGTGAAAGTCACACAAATATTAAGTGGGTGATTATTTATAAGTCTGGACTCCCGGATACCCGTAAAGCCAAAAGACACTGTAGCTCACCTTATCACCTGGTACATTATACACAATTCCCTTAACAAAGAAGCCTTCACAGTTGGTGAATCTTTGCAAAATATTATTTTGACAATGCATATTTTATGTGGAATGGTCAGCACACACACACACCCCACCCCTCCCCTCCCCACACACATATACAACCCACCACCACCCGTGATTCTACAATTCCGAATCCTATTCTGCTTGTGCACACTTTAGCCTAACTATATTGATTGATTGATTGAGTTTAGCTTTACGCCGCTTTTAGCAATATTCCAGCAATATGACGGTGGGGACACCAGAAATAAGCTTCATAAATTGTACCCATGTGGGGATTCGAACCCGGGTCTTCGGCGTGACGAACGAAGGCTTTAACCACTAGGCTACCCCACCGCCCGTAACTATATATAGTAGTTCAAATCAGAATGTTACGAATGTTCTCCAAAATACAACATAAAAAGTACATATAGAAAACTGTACGTAACAAACAACAAATACATGTTATACAATAAACAACTGTATTTTAAAAATAAAATAGGTGTATTAATCAATACCAAAACACAATCATTGCAATCACAGTACACTATAGAGTGGCAGTTCAAACTTTAATAGCAGTATTAAATATAATGGCATGGCTAATAGCAACAGAATCAGTGATGATATTAGTAACAAACATCAACAGTGGTCCGAAACAGGCCTAATCTTGACATCAAGGGTCAGAATTTAATGGCAGTATTAAATTTAATGGCAGTACTAATAGCAACAGAATCAGTGATGATATTATTAACAAACATCAACTGTGCTCCGAAACAGGCCTAAACTTGTCATCAAGGGTCAAAATTTAATGGCAGTATTAAATATAATGGCAGTACTAATAGCAACAGAATCAGTGATGATATTATTAACAAACATCAACTGTGCTCCGAAACAGGCCTAAACTTGACATCAAGGGTCAAAATTTAATGGCAGTATTAAATATAATGGCAGTACTAATAGCAACAGAATCAGTGATGATATTAGTAACAAACATCAACTGTGGTCCGAAACAGGCCTAAACTTGATATCAAGGGTCAAAATTTAATGGCAGTATTAAATATAATGGCAGTACTAATAGCAACAGAATCAGTGATGATATTATTAACAAACATCAACTGTGGTCCGAAACAGGCCTAAACTTGACTTCACGGGTGAAATTAACGACGTTCACACACCGATGGTCCTGATATAATGATGACAAATGCAAGGGTGTGTCTCTTAACGAAAAGGTTCCCAGGCATTTCTTCACTAAGCTGGATTATTTACTGGTCAAGAAGCTTTGCGTTTACCCCTGACTCGCAGGCTAAGTATGTAACTAGCACACCACTGTCCTCTATGACCCTCAGAAAAAACATTGTAATAGAATTAGACAGTCATTTAAGAACTCAACATCTCTGCTGTATTAAATTAGTACACCATTTCTTCTTAACAATGGGGCCCCCACCTTGTTGTGTTTGCAGTGAACTCTATACTTCATCATGGATATACAATATAAATACTTAAGCACATATAGTAAAGATATGTTGGCGCAATCAGCAATATTCCAGCTATATGGCGGCGGTCTGTATATAATCGAATCTACACCAGACAATCTAGTGATCAACATCATGAACATCGATCTACACAATTGGGATACGATGACATGTGTCAACCAAGTCAGCGAGCCGGAGCACCCGACCCCGTTAGTCGCCTCTTACGACAAGCATGGTTGCTGAAGACCAATTCTAGCCCGGATCTTCACGGGTCGTAAATATTATTTATGTACATAAAAGTAGCTATGTGAGAGTATTAACAGTTTGTCAAGTACAGATGTTAATACTGATTTCCAAGCGTAATGGTTTCACTCATTAACCAAAATGCAACAAGATAAATTAAAGATGACCAGTAAATGATTTAAACATTTTTGAAACAGGAGCTTCTGAAAGCAAATAATGATATATATATTGATATCATCTGCAACGGTCGAGAAGAGCTTCAACAACAATCAATATACCTTCAAAAACTATTTAGAAGCTGAGGTTACTGGAAAACCTTTTTTTCCATTAGCTTCATTGATGGAATGGAGTGAGTGAGTGAATTAAAGTGTCACGTCACATCAGCAATATTTCAGCCATGTCGTCATGGAATGGGACAGAATGTAGCAACTGTTTCCCAATCATTGGAACAGATACTGGAGCTGGGGCAAAGAAGACTCAGTTATGTGATTCCACAAGGATCCGCTCATTTTCACCGATTAATGTTTTCTATTATAATTCAGTGTGATAAACGCCTACACCGTGCATCACGTTGGGCTTCCGTCCACATAAGTTGATTGACCCTCGTTGATGATACATACTCACATACTCACACAGTCACAGTTTCAGAAAGACAATTATCAATACAAGTTCAAAAGAGCTACACCACATCGGTCGTCACAAAATCGGGATTGTCCATCTGGTTCTCGGATATGCCACTACTCTCTGACAGAGAGGCATGGCTACTACTGAAACCATACGTGAGGCTTTCCCTCGTATTGTTTCGAGTTCTTTGGGGCAGTTCGTACCTTAGTTTCCTCCACAACCACCGGTCAGAGACATTCAGACATTGACGACCACTCAGGTAGGTCTTCAGTGGCTCCTGCGTCACAGTAGAGAGGTCAAGGTCACCGTGTATTAAAACGAGCAGACGACCTGATTTAGTTTCTTCCATAAGACGATGAGCGAAGTCGAATTCTTCTATGGACCAGCCGTTTTTCACATATGAACTATTTACAATAGCAAGAACTCTTCTACCTTTCTTGATGTTTTCCACCATCTGATCTGCTATACTATCCCCAAAATCGTCCTGACGACATGGGTAATACACTTTGTATACTGGACGGGACTTTTTCTGTTTTTCCAGTTGTTTCAAAAGTTTATCTTTCACCCAAAGCCTGATGTCTTCGTTTTCCCTGTCTATGGATATGTAGACATCGTGTCTTTTAGTTGCATCGTCTGCCTTGTCACAAGACGCGTGGTCAAATGGATGAACACGGAAGTAGTCATACATCAATACTTTACACTCGTATTTCCGCTTGCAGCAGACGACAGTACAAATAATGAGAATGAGAAGCAACACTCCAAGCACCACACTAACAATAATGGCGATATCTCGATAGCAGACAAGAGAGTTCCAAGTCACATCCACAAGACGTAAATGACGTCCATTGTGGTAGCACAAGTGATGGGACAGGGAGTCAAAAGACATGTTCTCAGAATTACGTCGTATCCAATCATTTATCCAAATGGTGTCACATGAGCAGACGAGAGGGTTTCCACTGAACTTGACAGATGAGACACGGAAGGTCTGAATTTTGGATGGCAAGGTTTTTAAGTTGTTGTTTCTAATGTCAATATATTCCAAACTTGGTACTTTCTCAAGAAAGGAATCTTCCAAGAGTAAAATGTTATTTGAAGACACATCAAGACGTGTGATATTTTGTAGATAGTCTTTGTGAGACAATGAAGATATTTTGTTATGAGACAGCTGAAGGAACAATGGCCCTGGAGGCACAGTCTGTGGCAAGTCGGTATATTCTCCAGACCTGGAGCAGTCCACTAGTATGTAACCATCGTGAGGTCGGTCTTGACACTTGCAGTCAGCAGGACATCTTTCTGTGATATTACAAATCAGTTGGTCTGGATGATCGAAGAAATATGAAAAATTGTATCCCTTGAACTCCCTGGGACTATCGCAGGTCATAAAGCCCTCAGCCATGCTGTAATAGAAGGTGTCAATGAATTGCATCAACAGATAATAAAACCCACAATCACAGAACCATGGGTTTTTCCGGACAACGATCCCCATAACACCTATGTCAAATATTGTTGGTATCCGTCCAGCCAAATATTGACTGACATTCTCTGTCCTGAAGTACCTGAGTCTGTTGTGTGTAAGATTTACCTCCACATTGGGTTCCTTAGTCATTGTCCATCCCATGGTGTTTGAGAAACGTGAAATTTGGTTAAACTGAAGATTAAAGGACATTCGCTTATTTGAATATTTTGAGATCATTGGAATGTAAGGCCATGGCTCAAATACCTCGAGGTTGTTGTAATACAGGTCAACTTCCTTTAGAAATACAAGACCCTTATGGAACACATTGTTTCCAATGAAGCTAATCCTGTTCCGAGATGCATCAAATCTCCTCAGGTTGGAGTTTTCTTTACTGGAACCAAGAATTCCGGATGTAAGATTTGTCAGGTCGTTATTCCTGAGTATGAGCTCGACAAGACTTCCCAGTTCATTGAAGGCGTCATTGAAATCATCTCGATTTGATTATTTGCTAAGTTCAATATTTTCAAACATTTGAACTGATTGAATAACCTTTCTGATATCTTTGTAAGGTTATTCTTTGACAAATTCATGGAAATAACTCGTTGAAAGATTGTGTTGTTGAATATTTGAAACGACAAATCTGTAATATTATTTTCGGATAAATCCAGATATACATCCTCAAATGGGTTTGTCCTGTTTGATAAAATAGTTGCTATCACAAATAGATTTGGAAACTCCAGAGACCCAAGTGTTCTGTTCAGTGACACCTCCCTTGCTGTTCCTGATAGACACGGACTTCCTGACACACAACTGGACAAACAGAAGGCTAACAACATAATACACAGCCTGGTCATGGCTTAGGAGCTACAAGCTGCCCAGTTGATCAGATGAGTGGAACCAATGCATCTTCCTGCAGGATAACTTCGATAAGGAGACAACACTTCAAACTGTTAATTAATGTAGCTGAAAGCCGTGTGTCTGACGAAGAAGGATCTTCTAACTGCAGAGTGTAAGGTATCCCAGTTGATGATGAATTAAATTAATATAATTGAATACAAATAACATCAATCATCAAATCTTATCCTTGATGGAGGAACGCCTTCATTATTTGGTATTCCTGGCTTTGATTCGCAGACTTAAGTTCCAACTAATTTTAGAAAGGTAGACCATGAGATGTAGCGGATGGAAACTTGCCAAAGTTGAAACAATTCATTTAAAGAAATAAACACTGCTTCAAAATTATAGTCTTACCACAATCACGAAGACTCTGTTCTATTACTCTGCCAGATCACGGAGAGTGTCACAATTGTTGTCTGGCTAAGTAGAGAAGGCGTAGAACCAGTTCAGTGTGAATGAAGCTTACCATGGTTCAGCGTTATGTTGAGACTGTTTGTTGACAGAGAAGCACTTTACAATCACATCAATGCTGTAACATCCGGACAGAAGATGTTTCCCCTCATCTTGTGGCGTTTACTTGGAATTGATTGATATATCACTATGTCGCCTTCATACTTCAGTCCAACCAGCAGATATGGAGATACAAAATCATTATATGATTGAATCATAATAAGAATAGTGTAAGTTGAATCTGGCGTACCTGTGAACAATATCAAGGCTAGGATTTCTTGATCCTTGTATACATGTTTCCTATATAGTGTCACGTGTCATGAGTTCAGCATGACTTTTACCAAACACATCAAGTAACACTTTTTGCCATCGTGGCTTTCTCTTCAGAGCAGGACACCGGGTGTTACTTCATCAGGATACGTGTTTGGAGCGTCAACTTGCAACTATTTCATGAGGGATCAACTGAGCGAGGCCTGAACACAACATACCCTGAAAGCTGTTGTGTAGCCTGTCTCGTAGTCCCTGAACTACATTATTTTTCCTTCTGTCCATCCTTTTCTGCAATGCTATTGCCCTAAATGAAGCAAGTCTAGAATTCCTCACGTTCTGAATATCCCATCTCAAGGGGACTCCTTTCCAATTTAAATGGAATTATTTGTTCGTATCAAAATTGTATACATTCAGTGACTAGCCGTCAGTCTAGCTGTTGTGAGACATTGCTTGCAGTTACCTTGACCCAAATTCAGAGTTCTTTGTGATTCATAGCATCAGAAGCCGTCATACACTTAGCGATTGGCTTACTCACAGAACAGCATCATGCAGCAGATAATTATCATCAACTAGCAATTGTTAAACACAGTATGATCCAGCAATAGTCAAACATAGCATTATCCAGCAATAGTCAAACACAGTATGATCCAGCAATAGTCAAACACAGTATGATCCAGTAATAGTCAAACACAGTATGATCCAGCAATAGTCAAACACAGTATGATCCAGCAATAGTCAAACACAGTATGATCCAGTAATAGTCAAACACAGTATGATCCAGCAATAGTCAAACACAGTATGATCCAGCAATAGTCAAACACAGTATGATCCAGCAATAGTAAAACATAGTTTCATCCAGCAATAGTCAAACACAGTATGATCCAGCAATAGTCAAACACAGTATGATCCAGCAATAGTAAAACATAGTATCATCCAGCAATAGTCAAACACAGTATGATCCAGCAATAGTCAAACACAGTATGATCCAGCAATAGTCAAACACAGTATGATCCAGCAATAGTCACACACAGCATCATGATAAACATATTATCATTATCCCACGCACACCATCATCCAGTCGCCTAGACTGTGTCACCCAGACATGCAGGCTGTAATGTCCGCCATGGTGTACAATATGACACTCCCCTGCTAAAATAGTAGCAGGCATGCGTCATTAGGAGAAATCAACTGTATCGGGGGCGGAACATACGCTGGCTAATGGCATACGAGCCAGCATTTTAATTGCCTCTAAGTAAGAGGCATCGTGTTGTCTGTGTGTACCCTCTCAGCGAAGACAAATAACCTTGTTTGAGAGAGAGAGAGAGGAGAGGGGGGGGGGGGGAGAGAGAGAGACAGGGTGAGAGGGAGAGAGACACAGAGAGAGCGACAGAGTGAGAGAGAGACAGAGTGAGAGAGAGCGAGAGAGAGAGATATAGACAGAGAGAGAGACAGAGAGAGAGAGACAGAGAGAGGGAGAGAGACAGAGAGAGGGAGAGACAGAGAGAGGGAGAGGGAGAGAGACAGAGAGAGGGAGAGAGACAGAGAGAGGGAGAGAGACAGAGAGAGATAGAGCGGGAGAGGAGGTGTTTGTTTGTGTATAATCATAGTCGTGAAAGCATAAAGTGTTTTCATAATGGGCCATGTATCATCTGCTGTTTTCATAATGGGCCATGTACCATCCACTGTTTTCATAATGGGCCATGTATCATCCACTGTTCGCTGATCACAAACCAGAGCCGCGAGGTACATCCCTACTGTTGTGACAACAACAGAACAATAGCATGCTTTATGTTAACTTTACATTATATCGAAGCTATATAGCTTCCTCACTGATGCATATGTCCCATCTGTCAGTTACGTGTTGTGTGATTGTGTGATTGAAGGAGTAGTGTTTTGTGGGGGTTAAGTTGAGTCCCACCCGGGATTCGAACCCACGATCTCAGAGCTAGGCACCCAATTGCCAGCAGTTAAATTTACATGTGTCCAAATGCCCATCTTAAACAATGTGCAACACTATCACAATCTCCCTAATATTGTCAGCGTTATATTGAATAGAAGCCAATCTACCCTGCTCCTCTGTTGCAGGGTATCTGATATACGTACTTTGATTAGAACAAGAAGGTATTCTAGTTACATGACGGTGTGTTATCTTTCTCTTTCACGTACTGAGACCCCATCAGCACATGTTTGAAGATGTATGCAAAAGGTCATTGTGACCGCAAGTCTTAGATTCCATTTTACACGGCTGCTGCCAAGGTTGGTAGAAAAAGCTGAACTGATTGTTGCCTACTTTCAAGTGTAAAGATGAAACAAATTACAAATATGAATAATGAATAAGTATGGAAGCGTTTTGGGGCCACAGTTCAATTTGTTTTATTGTCTACGTAGATAATGTTTTACTTTTACATAGATCTGTTTGTTTGGTTTTTTTATGGTTTTTGTTGTTGTCTTTTTTGTTGTTGTTGTTGTTGACGCAATATTCCATCTATATAGCGGCGGTCTGTAAATAATGGAGTCTCGGCCACAGAACCCAGTGCTCAACAGTATAAGCATCGTTGTACGCAATTGGGTTGCAATGACAAGCAAATTCTAACCCAGATCTTTACGGGTTGCCTCTACAGAGATGATACTGACATATACATAGATGATACTTTCTTCTACGTATGAATATACTTTCACCTGCGTAGAAGATACTAACACCAACATCAGTGATACTTTCACATCTTCTTTATAGTATCCTATACGCAGAGAACGCCTCCGTGGTGCTGTGGTTAGAGCGTCCGTCCGGAGAGCGGAAGGTCGCGGGTTCGATCCCGACCGCGTCATTCCGAAAGACGTTAAAATATGGTACTTGTTGGTCCCTGCCTGACGCTCGGCATTAATGGGTACACCAAGGACTGGTCGGCTCGGAGTCAGTATAATGTGGGGTCTGAGTGGGGTATTCATGCTTCACTGCGGCATGGTATCTCAGTGGGCTAGCACTATAAAACAAGCTTAAGTCTGGGCTAGTACAAGCTACCGCACATACACATACACACGCATGCACGTCGTCATATGAGCGAAATATTCTCAAGCACGACGTTAAACCCAATTTCACCTCACCTTACCTCATATACGCAGATGAAAATATCTTCAAGGTAGACGACAAATACTATTAGACCGTGTCCCTAATACGCTTCCATAAATAACATAGTCTCTTCTTATGTCAGAGGCAATAATGTATTGTTTAGAAGAAAATACTTTTAGATTGGTGCATGTGTTGTTAAGTGTTGTAAAATTGTTTATCATAGCACTAAACTAAATACAGATATCACTTGCATTAACACGTTGCCTGATCATGTACGAGCATTGTTTGAAGCAGTTGTAAAATCCTCTGTTTCAGCCCGCATTGTGCTTGTGTTCCAATGATGTGTGCTTCAAACTTGGGGGAACCAACTACAAACCTTATGCCGATGAATTTCACGAGGATCAAGCATCAATTTTCCGAAAAGCATGTGCAAATATCGTGCATGTGAACAGTTGCATTTTGGTGTAAAGTTTTGTTAAAAATTTGCTAATTTTCACAGATTTTCATGATTTATTGAACTCATGATAATAATCTCAACGTTACGAATCTGTTTTACAATACATCAGTTCATGTGTAAACAGTACCTTTAAACATTATGAAATGATTAGCAAATTCTAGTTTAGAACAGTTGACTGAAGTAAGTGGCTACATTTACATTAGTGAGTCTAAGCTATTGATGGGCAATATACTTTGAATTTCAGGGTAAAACTAATACTTTTGTAAACCCGAACACAGCTTCCAAACTGCAGCATATAGCAAACGAAGAGGATTCCATCTCACTATACAAGCACTGACGTGAGTAAGGCGGTAACGTAGCCTAGTGGTTAAAGCGTTAGCTCGTCACGCCGAAGACCCGGGTTCGATTTCCTCACATGGGTACAATGTGCGAAGCCCATTTCTGGTGTCCCCCGCCGTGATATTGCTGGAATATTGCTAAAAAGCGGCGTAAATCTTAACTGACGTGAGTAAACTGATTTAGTCAGTGAGTGAGTGAGTGTGGTTTAGCGCCGCTTCGGACAGTGTTATTGTTATATCAGGGTATGTCGACTTGGAGTCGGAGGAAAGCCCTGGGGGATGCAGGTCTGAGGCCTTTACCACTTTGATGGAACCCATGGGCACGAGTATAGACTTGACAAACATATAACCGATTTCATTTGCTTGTTGTTTAGCGCTCAGCGATATTCCAGCTAAATAACGGCGGTTATAAATAAATAAATGAGGCTGGATCAGACAATCCAGTGATCAACATCATGAGCATCGATCAGCGAGCTGGACCACCCTATCCCGTTAGTTGCCTCTTACGACAAGCATGGGTTACTGAAGATCAATTCTAACCCGGATATTCAAGGGTAACATATAATTGGGGCGAAACCATCCTAGTTTTGTTTGGTGTGCTCATGGAACATAGGGGCGGTGGGGTAGCCTAGTGGTTAAAGCGTTGGCTCGTCACGCCGAAGACCCGGGTTCGAATCCCCACATGGGCACAATGTGTGAAGCCCATTTTGGTGTCCCCCGCCGTGATGTTGCTGGAATATTGCTAAAAGCGGCGTAAAACCAAATTCAGTCAGACAGTCATGGAACATAGGTCCGTACTGCGAATTGAATCACCTTAGACGAGTGAACCACCCGTGATCCTGTTTATTCAGACCGGTTACAATGGTACTTGGCTAATAAGGGACTGACTGTATATTTCATGTTCCACAGTACAGAAGTGATTGATTGGTAGGTTGGTTGACAGGTTGATCGGTTGTTTGGTTGGTTGGCTGGTTGACAGGTTGGTTGATTGGTTAGTCGGTTGGTTGGCTAGGTGGTTGGTAAATGGTTGGTTGTCTTTCATGCTGGGATGACAGTTATCAGTGAAAGTTGTTATTTTCATCTTTTTGCAGTTCTGTATTGTTTCTCTTTTATACCTTTGAAAACGATCCTACAATTACCATTTGTTTCAGTTCATATCGAGAAGACAAAATTTAACATTATACCCATATACTCGTATTATATAAAATTTACTATGTACTTTATTTGATATAAGTACTTAATACTAGTTAAAAATGAAATAAGTAGTTATATTTAAAGACAATATCCTACTCTGTCGCTTCTGTTGCATTCAAATAATGACATCAGCAAAATATTTTCACTGCACGAGAATTGACGATCTGGGTGCACTGGTCAACCCTGATTCGGCATCGCTTTCCCAATATTCCAACATCACGGCGGCTGAACTCAAGGAATTAATAACTTGATCAGCAAACGTTTTAAATATGTACAGTTTTAGTCGATATTAACACAAATAGCCCTTGTCACTGCACATCATTGCAAGAATTAAATCTGTTTTCTGTTCAAACCGACTAAGTATCCCCATCTTGACAGTCTTCCATCCTGGTTGAAAGTGGGTGTTTTGGTCCCAGGCAGTTTGGTGTATAAAACAATTGTTCAATTTATATAGGGTGTATATCTTCATAATATTGATGAGGCCAGATTGAAAAAGAAAACGAAAAAGTGTGGAACCAATTGTACTGTGCACTTGTCAGCAAGTTTTATTGTTTGAACGAATGATAAAATCCACGTTTTAACAGCACTGCATTGTGACATTAACGACGTTGCTGTTGATGTTGTTGCTGCTGCTGTGCTGCTGCCCAAGTCGTTGTTATCCTCAGACTGAACCATTTATCACTGTGAGCTGCCATATGGATGAACACATAACATTTCCGGAGATCACTAAAGTGGCCGGAAACCCTTACTATAGAGTGCCTCATTAACGTTACAGAAGTTGTCATACGTTTTATGTCCTTCAGGCAGTTCGTCCAAAACGGTGAATGACACAACTTGCACACACATTATGGGGTCATCAGATCTCAGTCTGCTCGGCAGTTTCAGAAAGGAAGTTATCCAGTCATGTTAACTACAGCTACACCACACCGGTCGTCACAAAATCAGGATTGTACATCTGGTTCTCGGATATGCCACTACTCTCTGACATAGAGGCGTGAATACTACTGAAACCACCCGTGAGGCTCTCCCTTGACGCAGAAGTCGGGTTGGTTCGAGGTCTTTGGGGCAGTTCGTACCTTAGTTTCCTCCACAACCACCGGTCAGAGACATTCAGACATTGACGACCACTCAGGTAGGTCTTCAGTGGTTCCTGTGTCACAGTAGAGAGGTCAAGGTCACCGTGCTGTAAAACAATCAGACGACCTGATTTAGTTTCTTCCATAAGACGATGAGCGAAGTCGAATTCTTCTATGGACCAGCCGTTTTTCACATATGAACTATTTACAATAGCAAGAACTCGTCTACTTTTGTTGATGTTTTCCACCATCTGATCTGCTATACTATCCCCAAAATCGTCCTGACGACAGGGGTAATACACTTTGTATACTGGACGGGACTTTTTCTGTTTTTCCAGTTGTTTCAAAAGTTTATCTTTCACCCAAAGCCTGATGTCTTCGTTTTCCCTATCCAGGGACAGGTATAGATCATACTGTTTCATAGTGTCATCTGCATTATCACATGGTTCTTGGTCAAATGGATGAACACGGAAGAAGTCATACATCAATACTTTACACTCGTATTTCCGCTTGCAGCAGACGACAGTACAAATAATGAGAATGATTAGCAACACTCCAAGCACCACACTAACAATAATGGCGATATCTCGATAGCAGACAAGAGAGTTCCAAGTCACATCCACAAGACGTAAATGACGTCCATTATGGTAGCACAAGTGATGGGACATTGAGTCAAAAGACATGTTCTCAGAATTACGTCGTATCCAATCATTTATCCAAATGGTGTCACATGAGCAGACGAGAGGGTTTCCACTGAACATGACAGATGACACACGGAAGGTTTGAATTTTGGGAGGCAAGGTTTTTAAACTATTGTTTCTAATGTCAATATGTTCCAAACGTGGTACTTTCTCAAGAAAGGAATTTTTCAAGAGTAAAATGTTATTTGAAGACACATCAAGACGTGTGATATTTTGTAGATAATCTCTGTGAGACAATGAAGAGATTTTGTTATGAGACATCTGAAGGAACAATGGCCCTGAAGGCACAGTCTGTGGCAAGTCGGTGTATTCTCCTGACCTGGAGCAGTCCACTAGTATGTAACCATCGTGAGGTCGGTCTTGACACTTGCAGTCAGCAGGACATTTTTCTGTGATATTACAAATCAGTTGGTCTGGATGATCGAAGAAATATGAAAAATTGAATCCCTTGAATTCACTTGGATCATCGCAGGTCATGAAGCTCCCAGCCATGAAGTAATAGAACGTATTCGTAATTTCCATTAACAGATAATAAAACCCACAATCACAAAACCATGGGTTGTCCCGAACAATTAATCTCATTATATCAAGTTCAAATATTGTTGGTATCCGGCCGGCAAAATATTGACTGAAATGCTCCTTCCTGAAGTACCTGAGTCTGTTGTGTGTAATGTTTATCATCACATTGGGTTCCTTAGTCATTGTCCACCCTATGGTGTTTGAGAAACGTGAAATTTGGTTAAACTGAAGATTAAAGAACATTTGTTCTTTTAAAGAGTCTGATATCATTGGAATATAAGGCCATGGCTCAAATACCTCGAGGTTGTTGTAAGACAGGTCAACTTCCTTTAGAAATACAAGACCCTTATGGAACACATTGTTTCCAATGAAGCTAATCCTGTTCCGAGATGCATCAAATCTCCTCAGGTTGGAGTTTTCTTTACTGGAACCAAGAATTCCGGATGTAAGATTTGTCAGGTCGTTATTCCTGAGTATGAGCTCCACAAGACTTCCCAGTTCATTGAAGCCATCGTTTGAAATCAGTTTAAGTTGATTATCGGCTAAGTTCAATATTTTCAAACATTTGAACTGATTGAATAACCCTTCTGATATCTTTGTAAGGTTATTCTCTGACAGATTCATGGAAATAACTCGTTGAAAGATTGTGTTGTTGAATATTTGAAACGACAAATCTGTAATATTATTTTCGGATAAATCCAGATATACGTCCTCATATGGGTTTGTCCTGTTTGATAAAATAGTTCCTATGACAAATAGATTTGGAAACTCCAGAGACCCAAGTCTTCTGTTCAGTGACACCTCCCTTGCTGTTCCTGATGGACACGGACTTCCAGACACACAGCTGGACAAACTGAATGATAGGAACACAATACGTGGACTGGCCATCACTAAGTAGATTGCCTACTTACTTTAAAGACTTAGGTATGGGCTTCTCAACGGTTCCTAAGTCAAATACAACTTCCAACTGATTCACCAAACCTATCGCCACACAGTGTTCATGTGTTAGGAAATGTCACAACATACAGCAGGCGCCACCTTCGATGTATGATATAACCATATGTATCTCAGTATATCCAGCTATGGCCACACAGTGTACTGTTAAGAAATATCACAACATACAGCAGACGTCACCTTCGATGTATGATATAACCATGTGTATCTCAGTATATCCAGCTATGGCCACACAGTGTACTGTTAAGAAATATCACAACATACAGCAGACGTCACCTTCGATGTACGATATAACCATATGTATCTCAGTATATCCAGCTATGGCCACACAGTGTACTGTTAGGAAATATCACAACATACAGCAGACGTCACCTTCGATGTATGATATAACCATGTATATCTCAATATATCCAGCTATGGTCACACAGTGTACTGTTAGGAAATATCACAAAATACAGCAGACGTCACCTTCGATGTATGATATAACCATGTATATCTCAATATATCCAGCTATGGTCACACAGTGTACTGTTAGGAAATATCACAACATACAGCAGACGTCACCTTCGATGTATGATATAACCATGTATATCTCAATATATCCAGCTATGGTCACACAGTGTACTGTTAGGAAATATCACAACATACAGCAGACGTCACCTTCGATGTATGATATAACCATGTATATCTCAATATATCCAGCTATGGTCACACAGTGTACTGTTAGGAAATATCACAAAATACAGCAGACGTCACCTTCGATGTATGATATAACCATGTATATCATGTCAATCAATATATCCAGCTATGGTCACACAGTGTACTGTTAGGAAATATCACAACATACAGCAGACGTCACCTTCGATGTATGATATAACCATGTATATCTCAATATATCCAGCTATGGTCACACAGTGTACTGTTAGGAAATATCACAAGCTATACAGCAGACAGACGTCACCTTCGATGTATGATATAACCATGTATATCTCAATATATCCAGCTATGGTCACACAGTGTACTGTTAGGAAATATCACAACATACAGCAGACGTCACCTTCGATGATGTATGTATATCTCAATATATATAACCATGATATCTCAATATATCCAGCTATGGTCACACAGTGTACTGTTGAAATATTACAGCAGACGTCACCTTCGAAATATCACATATCTCATCACACAGCTGTTAGGAAATATCACAACATACAGCAGACGTCACCTTCGATGTATGATATAACCATGCTATCTCAATATATCCAGCTATGGTCACACAGTGTACTGTTAGGAAATATCACAACATACAGCAGACGTCACCTTCGATGTATGATATAACCATGTATATCTCAATATATCCAGCTATGGTCACACAGTGTACTGTTAGGAAATATCACAACATACAGCAGACGTCACCTTCGATGTATGATATAACCATGTGTATCTCAATATATCCAGCTATGGTCACACAGTGTACTGTTAGGAAATATCACAACATACAGCAGACGTCACCTTCGATGTATGATATAACCATGTATATCTCAATATATCCAGCTATGGTCACACAGTGTACTGTTAGGAAATATCACAACATACAGCAGACGTCACCTTCGATGTATGATATAACCATGTATATCTCAATATATCCAGCTATGGTCACACAGTGTACATGTGTTAGGAAACACCACAACACACAACAGGTGATACCCCTGATGAATGATATAACCACATATTTCGCAATGCATCCAGCAGTGGCGACACACAGTGATCGTAGTATCAGTTTTGATCCTCTTCAATTCAGGTATTGACAACGGGCCCTTTGTGACGCCGTACTACCCTCACACGGGGAAAGGAATTCCTTCAGTGGGGCTACGGTAACAAGTTCAAACTCTTGATACTGGAGCTTAGTCTGTCTCACAGTCCCGGAACCACATTATTTTCCCAACAACCTAGCCCTCCCTGCAATGCTAAGTCCTAAATGAAGTAAGTCTAGATTTCCTCAGGTTCTAAATCTCCCATCTCAGTGGGGCTCCTTTTCAGTTTCAATGAGATTATTTGTTACTATCAAACTTATTATACATTCAGAGACTGAGCGGCAGCCTAACTGGAGAACTACAAGTATATCGTATGACGCGACAATGTCAGGCGTTACCCACATATGGTTGAAAGGTTCTTGAAAGAAATGCCACATTGGGTCTATTTATACGTATATGATGTGCTACAAAGCCACCGGGTGGAGCAAATGTGTTGACATACCAACAGTTATAACCGCCATTGGATATACCAATTGTGCTAGTGTTGAAGTCAGTCGGTGATCATAAAATAGCCACGAGTGGTTTCAGAACAGGGTGTTATTGATTGTTGATTTACGTCGCCAAAGGACGGCGTCTTGTAAATAACGAGTCTGGACCAGACAATCCAGTGAATGACGTTGTATTACCGTCCGGCGGGGCGACAAGCCAAGATGACGATTTTGTCTCCGCTCCATGCGAAGACGTTTTTGCTAGTGATATAGTTTGAACGTATATTAGGTAGGCGCACTGTCTTTGTATAAAAGGAGTGAGTGAGTGAGTTTAGTTTTACGCCGCACTCAGCAATATTCCAGCTATATGGCGCCAGTCTGTAAATAATCGAGTCTGGACAGTCCAGTGATCAACAGCATGAGCATCGATCTGCGCAATTGGGAACCGATGACATGTCAAGCAAGCCAGCGAGCCTGACCACCCGATCCCGTTAGTCGCCTCTTACGACAAGCATGGGTTACTGAAGATCAATATTCTAACCCGGACCTTCATGGGTCGTAACATGGTAGAATATATAGAATTTATTTTCATGTTACACATGAAATATAATATGCTCATGCTGCTGCCAAATTATTACCCAGTGGATCAGTATGTACTCAAATTACAGTCTCAGCTCCCTGGGAATCATACAATCCAAGCAGTATTTCAGCCACAAGTTGGAAGTTTTTTTTATTCCCATTACCATGAAGATGGTTACTAAAGATCAATATTCTAACCTGGACCTTCACATGTACTGCATTAAAGGAATTATGATACTTAGATTGAGTTACTTTGGAGCAAGCATATTGCTTTACAACACTAACATTACGGGTGTCCTCCCTTTACGAGACAGCCAGTGCGCAGACACCTTAAAACAACAACATTTACGGTTCAGTGAACAGATTATCTACTACCTGTTACCTACACATTATAATGGAATAGTCCAAATAAAAACACAGGAACAAACTGAAGCTATATTAGTTATTTTGAAAGATGGATGAAAAGACAGTAATTTGAATTTTTATTGCTGCAATGTATAAACAGTTTATTTTCATAAACATTTCGGTTTAACCTTCTAGTCTAACGGGAGTCGGCATCATCATAAATATTGAAAACATTAGCTTAGCTATTAGAAATTGCGACACTGTTGTATCATATAAATCAAATAAAGACAAGTGCGAAACTAAATATTATTCATATGGAATAAATAAGTTATATGTTTTGCACACAATGTTAAGATATATGACGAGTGCACTTAATTACGATTTATTTAGAATAAATATTTAAGATATGACGCATCATGTGAATGTGGCCATGGATGTGAGAATGTTTTTCATTACTTCCTTGAATGTCCATTGTATCCTACTTTAGAAAGTATTGTTAACATGATTGGTATTCATCGTATCTTGCATGGCAATGCAAATGTCTCATTTACTGCAAATCAGAATGTTTTCAAATATGTACATATCTATATCTCTCCAACAAAACGTTTTCTGAGTTAACTTCTGTTGTACATGTGCTATTATTGAGAGGGGTCTTTTCTATCAATAAACACAATCAAACCTCTCAGTGACAAACCTGTTTTTATATTCGATAGTAATTGATAGTAAAATCAATTTTGAGAAGAGAAATCATTTATAATTTAATCACTACAAAGTTCTATTTACACACAATCTAACTTCTCAGTAAGGACCCTGTGTCAGGGTCACCCTGCTCTCGTCACTGGACAGTGGACTGTTCCATTATACCCGTAGGTGTTACCCTAATTAACCCTTTAGTTCAGTGTCTGTCAATTGGGTGTCTGTCAAATGGGTGTCTGTCAATTGGGAGATAACCACATTACTGCCTGCCGAACAGTTACCGCCATATTTTAGCGGTATTTCCCAAATTACTCCGCCGTTCGTTAAATTAATGAAACAAATAATGATTAATGAAAATTGATTATAATACTTAATTAGCTATTCGCTAATTAATTAGCTATGTGTCCAGACGGTGTCCTCCCATTACGCAGACAGCCAGTTCGCAGACACCTTAAAACAACAACATTTACGGTTCAGTGAACAGATTATTTACTACATGTTACCTACACAATATAATGGAATAGTCCAAATAAAAACACAGGAACAAACTGAAGCTATATTAGTTATTTTGAAAGATGGACGAAAAGTAATTTGAATTTGTATTGTTGCAATATAAAAACAGTTTATTTTCATAAACATTTCGGTTTAACCTTCTAGTCTAACGGGAGTCGGCATCATCATATTGAAAACATTAGCTTAGCTATTAGAAATTGCGACACTGTTGTATCATATAAATCAAATCAAGACAAATGTGAACCTAGATATTATTCATATGGAATAAAGAAGTTATATGTTTTGCACACAATATTAAGATATATGACGAGTGCGCTTAATTGCGATTTATTTAGAATAAATATTTAAAATATGACGCATCATGTGAATGTGGCCATGGATGTGAGAATGTTTTTCATTACTTCCTTGAATGTCCATTGTATACTACTCAAAGACATAAACTGTTTCAATCTTTAGAAAGTATTGTTGAAATTAGAACACTGATTGGTATTAATCGCATCTTACATGGCAATACAGGTGTCTCATTTACTACAAATCAGAATGTTTTCAAATATGTACA